TTAAGGTGCATGCAGTCGTCAGTATTGTGCCCATAGTCCTTATGAAATCAGCAATATAGATTACTTTTTGGCCTCGTTGGTCCGTCTTTTCTCGTCTTGGGCCATCTGACGACATTGTCATGAATTTCTCTTTCCATCACCTCCAAAATTTGCGCTTGAGGGGCCGACAAAGGGGTATATTGAGTTGGTCTCCAACCCCTAGATTGCCCCTCTCTTTCTGCTCGCGGGGATCCCTTCCTCTCCCTAGTTGAGGAAACCTTCTTCTCCCTTCTCTCATTTCGATGGTCAGCCTTACTTTCTTTAACTGTTCTTGTGAATCGACCTCCGCCTCCTCGACATTCATATACTTTGCGCATCTCCCCAACACCTCGTCGAACGTTCTACCCGGGCGCTTTGCCAAAGAATTCCTGCACAAGCCCGGTAGCAACCCTCGAGTCAAACCTCCTGCCTTTATTTTCTCCGATGCCCTGGGCACCTCGACGCATGCTCGCGTATATCTCGTCACATAGTCCCGTAGCGACCCACCTTCTTTTTGCTGGATGCCCATTAAGGTCAGATACGACTTCTCTTGCGGTTTGACACTTGCGAATTGATTGAGGAAGCTCGCAATGAATCCCTCAAAATCTTTGATAGCTCCCGCTGGTAGTTGGTGAAACCAATCCTGCACGGACCCCCGCAAAGTCGTTAGGAAGGATCGACATTGCACTGGTCATTATACGATGCAGCACTACCATATTCTCGAAACTCCTCATGGGACGCAATGGATCAGTCGACCCGTCGTAACTTATGTTTAGATCTCGAAAACCTTGCGGCAGGTCGGCATCCAGGATGTGCTGCGAGAACGGATGTCCTCTTGAGCCTCCAACTTTTCTCCCCTCGACTCGGGCCTGTAAATCGCAAACTTGGGCCAGCAATTGCTCCAGCGTCTCATCTCTCGCTTGCGGGTTAGCGGTCCTGATGGAGGACGCTTCCTCCTCCACCCTCCGGATCTGCCCATCATTGGACTGGGCTTGTTGCTCGTGATCAGGGGGTGGCAACTCGACCCTTTGTTGCTCGAATCTAGTTGGCTCCCTCCTAGGTTGTTCGACCCTGGGTTGCTCGACTTGCACCTGTTTGAGTTGGGCTGCCACCGCCTCTGCAATCATTCTTTGCATTTCATTCCTCGTCATAGTCACCATTTGCTCCTCGACTTGGGGTGTTGGTCTTGCCCCTTGTTCCAACACTTCAGACCGCTTTCCCAAGCTCAAAGCCATTTTGGCCGACTCGTTCTCGCCAGTTCCCGTGTCGGTGGCCCTTGTATGGCTAGATCCTCCTTGTGTTAGCCCTGGAATCTTCACCCCAGGTGGTGTGATGGGTGTCTTCCTCCCTACGCGCTCTCGACGGGGCGTGCCCTCCGAACGGAGGAAAACCGAGCACCTAAAGTGGTGGTCTAGGGCCAGGAATCGGCGACGGGCGTTTATCCGTCCATGCTGCCCTAAAATCTTCATTCAAATTTCTCGACAATCCTTCCTTCTCCGCCATGTCAAACAGATCGGAACTACGTGCAAAGCTCTTATTTCCTTCAAGAACTCCCCACAGACGGTGCCAATTTGATGGGTCTCCTCCTAGATCTGGAGTGAACCGGTGGAAATGAGCTCCGGTCTGTTCGAATCGTCTCCAAGTCGTTTGTAGACCGCCACGAACACCTGCAAGAACTCAACACCGGAAGTGTTTTCCGGTGAAGAGCATCCGACGCTCAAGTCAGTAAGAGAAGAGAGGAGGAGCTCTGCTCAGTGGGAGCAACAGCTGAAGAATGGATGGAAAGAATGAAAGTTAGGGTTTAGGGTTACCTTATCTCCTTTATATAAGAGTTGAAACACTTACATGAAGTACCTAAAATGCCCTGACCGACTTACACAAAGTAGCCAAAATGCCCCGGTCGATTCGCATTCCGCTTACTCTTGAGTCAGCATCTAGATTCCTTCTTATCCTGTGTAAACTCGCACTTGGGAACCTTCCATGTGTCGCATCTGCACATCGAGTCTTGTAACCTTGCCGAGTCGATCTGAGGTTATACAATTACCCGGGGGCTCCTAGAGTGCCGACTCGTCATCTCCAACGAAGTCGTCTTGTGTCCGGTCGACTTTATAATGTCGACTAGAGACCGAGGCCGGTCCGACGGCTTTTGAATAGCCGATGGGCCAAGTCGACATCGTTGGTGTCAACTTAGTGGGGGTCGTCTGCAGTCTTCAGTCGGGAAATTACTGTCTGAGCCAGGCCATGACAATAGGGCTATATCAATGGTGAAGTGAACAATTGTAACATATAGATAGAAATGGGAGAAACATAGAGATAGAGAGAAGAGAGATAAAGAGGAGGAAAATGAGAGTTGGGAAATTTTCACTTTTTTTCATTCATCAGAAAATGCCATACATATAAGATTCTAACAGGCCCATAAAAATAACAAACTTTAACCCACATTTTCCCTTAACCAACTAAAAGGTAAAAAACATGCTACCAATAATAAAAAGACAAATGGATGGTGTAGATAAAAATACTAATTATTCTGCCTTGAATCTCCAATCGCCACGTGTCCACTAAGGGTCAAAGGCAAATCCTTGTCTGAAATGAGACCAAAGTCGCTCGCCTCTCCCATTTCATTTCCCCTTTTCTTCTATGCAAACCCTAAAATCAGCTTCCTTTCTTCATTTTCGATCTCCTTTTCTTCACTCTTAATTGATCCATTATCGTCATTCGTGACACTTTTTTTCTAAGAATACCTCTTAGATAAATAAGGTGAACATTTGCAATACTCTTTCTGGTATCACTAGAGTCAAGTCTTCTAAATACCTTGGGCTCCCCCTGGGTATAGGAAGATCCAAGAAACAAACATTTCAGTTTGTGAGTGAATGTGTGCAATCTTGATTAAGGCAGTTCTAAATGCTCTTCCCACTTATATTATGTCATGTTTCAGAGTACCAGTGTCCATAGTTAGACTTATTTGCAGAGATATAGCTGCATTTTGGTGGGGGAGAAATAAGAGTGGGGGGAGTAAAATTCATTGGGTAGAGTGGGGTCAGATGGCTAAGGATAAAAACTCAGGGCGGGTTAGGTTTCAAGGATCTTATAGCTTTTAATGATGCTCTTTTAGTCAAACAATTGTGGAGGCTGATTACCAAACCCAATTTGTTAGTTAGTAGGGTGATGAAGGGGAATATTTTTGGAATAGGAATCTTATGGAAGTCACTCCTAAAGCCACTGACTCCTGGCTGAGGAGAAGTTGGTTAGGGGCTAGAAAGTCTCTGGGACTGGGGGCTAGGTTTAGAGTAGGGAGTGGGAGAACAATTTCTATCTGGGATTCACCTTGGATCCCCAGATATCCTTCTTTTAAACCCTGTAACATTTTAGTGTTGATAGGACTAGACTGAGAGTGGTGAGTGATTTGATCTGTGAGGGGGGGTAGGGAATGGGATGCTGAGCTTATTTATCAAACATTTGATCCTTCAGATGCAGAAGCAATTCTGAAAATTGCTATCTCAACTCATGGAAAGGATGATAAGCTTATTTGGCATTGGAGTCCCAAAGGTGAGTTCTCAGTCAAAGAAGTATACAAAACCATTCTGAAGTTCAAAAAAGTCGTCAAGATCAACCAAGCACTAGTGTGGACCCAAAGGCTCTGAAGAAAATGTAGAAGACAACTGGCACCTGCCCATTAAATCTAAAATCAAGAATTTCCTGTGGAGGTGTTGGTTTGATTTCCTAAGTACTAAAGCCAAATTGTTGAAAAGAGGAATGGTTATTGATCCTATCTGTGCTGGATGTGACTGCCAGGAGGAAGACTTAGCCCATATTTTCTTCAACTGTGACAGAGCAAAGCTTTGTTGGAAGTTAAGTGGGCTAAGCTGGGACAAACAGGAGGAAGAACACTGGACTTTTCGGAAGTGGTGGCTTACTCTTTGTAATGTTGGGAGGAAGGGGATACTGGAGGATAGGATTTGCTTGTCTGCATACATTCTTTGGAATCTTTGGAAGGCAAGAAGCAAATGGCTGTATAAAGGTGATTGGATCCATGAGAGGGTGCTTGTGGAGGCTGCTAAGACAGAATGGATGGAGTGGTTAGAGATTTCTGCAACTCATTCCTCATCATTCTTGCAACCAAACCAACCCTTAGAGAAGTTTTCCAAAGAAGTAGGACAGCCATCTTTGGCTATCAGTGCTTCAATCTCTGATGGTGGTAAGGTTACTCTTAACTTCAATGTTCATATCATGAATCAAGAAGCTCAGAACTGGGAGAAGACACTCTGGGTGATTGGAGTGAAAAGGATGCTTTGTTGCTAGCAGTGAGATGGAGCATAAGGGAAGCTGTGGCTAGGCAATGGTTTAATATTTTTTGTATTGTTCCCTGCTCTGCATTGGTAGAAGTTTTATACAAGGAGGAAAATTGTTTAGGAGTGTCTCCCCCAGTGTTTAATGATGTTATGGATTTGCTATCTTCTTGTTCTGTTTCTTTTGTGCTGAACTCTCTAGTTTCTTAGTTTTTGTAAGGCAGTGTTGCCTATGAGGGGGAGGAGAGTAATCTTCCCCCGTGCTGTAATTCACTTGTAGTGATTTTGTGGCTTGTAATTATTTTGATACGGAATTTACTGATTACCGAATGTACTCTCTGTTTGAGTTCATGAAATATTTGGTTGTCGTTTGGGGAAAAAAAAAAAATCCACCCATTTGTGGTACTGGTAAATTGGAAAATGACAATCCTTCATATATTAATGCCAAAAACAGATGCAACATAACAGGAAGTAATGCTCAAAAAGCAAAATACAATAGGAAGTAAAATAACATGACTCACAGATACTCATCAACTTATTATTCAAGTCATAAAAAATGAACTTCAAACTACTGATCCTCACAATAAAACAAATTGAAAAGAGAATACAATACCCTCATACTTGAATAGGGACCAAACAGAGAATAGCGGTGAAAAAATAGTTGAAGTTTGTTGTTAATTCTATGTTGATGTTCCCTCAGTACCTATAGTGAGGAGGCTTGTAAGGACCCTCAATCGGGATGCTAATGTAATCAGCCTGGTCCTTACTTAGCTTAGTAAGCTTAGCCCCAAGTTTCCCAAGGTGGAGGGCAGCAACCTTTTCATCAAGGTGCTTTGGCAGCACGTAAACCTTCTTCTCATACTTGCCGGATTTCCTCTCATTCCAGAGCTCCAGCTGGGCAATCACCTGATTGGTAAACGAGCACGACATGACAAAGCTCGGGTGGCCAGTGGCGCAGCCCAAGTTCATGAGGCGGCCCTCCGCCAACACAATCACACCAGAGTTGGTATCCGGGAAGACGAACCTGTCCGTCTGGGGCTTGATGGTGATCCTCTTCACGCCTGGGAAGGTCTCGAGCCCGTGCATGTCAATCTCATTGTCAAAGTGGCCAATGTTGCAGACAATGGCATTGTTCTTCATCTTGCGCATGTGGTCAACCATTATGATGTCCTTATTGCCAGTGGTGGTGACAAAGATGTCGGCCTCCGAGACCACATCCTCCAGAGTCAGGACTTGGAAGCCTTCCATGAGTGCCTGAAGGGCGCAGATGGGGTCGATCTCCGTCACAATCACGCGAGCCCCGGCTTGCTTCAGGGCAGAGGCGCAGCCCTTGCCCACATCTCCGTACCCGCACACCACCCCAACCTTCCCAGCGATCATCACGTCGGTGGCCCTCATCAACCCATCCGGCAGTGAGTGGCGGCAACCGTAGAGGTTGTCAAACTGCAATTTATTTCGTTTATACAGAAATCAGATCTCACATCTAACACCCATATGCTGATGAATAAATTGATTATCGCACTGAATCAAGCTGCTCATAAGATCTAGCATCTAACATCACTGAGCGCCAAATATATGAATATAAAGTAAAATGCAAAATATTTACCTTGCTCTTGGTCACAGAATCATTGACATTGATAGCAGGGAAAAGCAGAGTGCCACTGGCCTGCATCTGGTACAACCTCTTAACACCAGTAGTGGTCTCCTCAGACACACCCACCAATCTCTCCTTCATCCTCGTGTACTTTTTCGGATCAGCCTTGAGGCCATCCCTGATGATAGTCAGCACGATCTGAAACTCTGGGTTGTCCGTCGAGCTCGGATCAGGCACCTTCCCGGACTTCTCGAACTCCTCCTCTGCCTTCACGCCCTCGTGGATCAACAGCGTGGCGTCACCGCCGTCGTCAACGATCAAGTCTGGGCCGCCGTCGGTGCCCCAGTCGAGGGCGCGCTCGGTGCACCACCAGTACTCCTGAAGGGTCTCCCCTTTCCAGGCGAACACAGCGGCGCTGTCGCGGGCGATGGCGGCAGCGGCGTGGTCCTGAGTGGAGAAGATGTTGCAGGAGCACCATCTGACCTCGGCGCCCAAGGCGGTGAGGGTTTCGATAAGGACGGCGGTCTGGATGGTCATGTGGAGGCTGCCGGTGATCTTGGCGCCTTTGAAGGGCTGGGCGGGACCGAACTCGGTCCGGCAGGACATGAGCCCAGGCATTTCGACCTCGGCCAGCTCGATCTCGAGGCGGCCAAAATCGGCCTGAGACATGTCCTTGACCTTGTATTCACGGCCAGAGGTGGTCTTCTCCACTAGCAGCGCCATGGTTATGGTGTTTGGGAATGAATGAGATTTAGAGAGAGGGTTGTTGTCGGTGGGGATAGGAATTAGCAAGCTGAGAGGAGGGATATAAATAAGTTTTTAAGGGGGACAAATGAACGGTTGAGATTTAGAGGGTTTGGTGGATCTGAGATCTGGAAAATGGGTGGGAGTGGGTGGGTGGAGAGGAAATGAAGGTAAAGCCAAGTCATCATGAGACTAAAAGTCAAGCTTATGTGGAGAATTAATTGTTACTTATTCATATTTATTTAAGTAAAACTAGTTTATTGGGATTGAAATTATCCTTCTACCTCTTCCACAAATTCAATTTTTATAATATTGTAATCTATCAGGCTAGTAATAGAGATGTTAATGTTCCTTTGCCCGATAGCCCGGCCCGTTTAACTCGAGAAAAATCAAAAATCAGGATTATGGTCTTTTATTGGCAACCGCTTAAATTCGGGATTTTAAGGCTCACCGTTTAGCTCGAAGCTCGCTATGGCTAGACTGTTTAACTTGGGTTTGGTGGAGTATATGTTTTTAGAGCACCCACAATGTTTTGGGTCTCTTAACAAAATATTAGATGCCATGTAAGAGTTAGACTTAGCCTATAAAAAAGTGTGCTCCAATGCAATTAAAAGAGACCAAGCCCAAGCTTATGTGGCAATCAAAAAAAGAGACCAAGCCCAAGCTTATGTGGCAATCAAAAAAAGAGACCAAGCCCAAGCTTTAGTCTATTTTGAACCCAAACATCAACCTGACTAGTCAGCAAGTATTTACAT